TAAACAGCTTCTTTAAATTCCTTATCATAAGAAAGTGTCAACGTTTTTGTAGAAATTTTGGCAGAACCTCCCCTGTAATTAGGATCTCCCGAAAATTCTACAATAAAAATTTTTACAATAACAGTATAATTCAGGAGCATAGCTCCTCCCAGCCATTAACCAATATACAGACCAAAAATAAGGTTTATTCACCACCTATGTGGAGCATCTACTCTTTCTTTCAAATCAAAACGACATACCAATCATATATTTACATTAAAATTACAATACCAATCAAAAAGGGTCCACCCACTGTAGCTAATTGCCCTTTCTGAGGTCGTTGGTGGGATCAGTGTCAGCTAACAAATCTGAGACCAAAATAATTTTTCCAGTGAATAGCATTCCCATAAAAATTTCTTAAAATTTTTAATCAATAAATTTCAATAATAGTGTCAGCTAGTTAAAAGCAATGCTATCAAAATTTATAAACACATGAATCATAACCATATTTATGAAATAAGAGTAAATTGAGAATAATTTATATTATCATGCTTAAAGAAAATGATCTGTTCTCATATAACTCAAAATGATACCAATTATTAGTTAAAACCGGATAATTTCGAAAACACATATTAATCCACATTTAAAATTTTGAGAACTCAACAGAATAAGTTACAAACGTGAACACTCAGTTCACGAGGGTAAATAACCAAACGCGGCTTCTGTCATGAAAACAAACGTGGACACACCAGTCCACGAGGGTAAATAACCAAACGCAGCCGTAGCTACGAAACAAACGTGGACACACAATCCACGAGGGTAAGTGACCAAACGCGGCTCAAGCCACGAAATCAAACGCGAGTGTGAAGCCCATGAATACCAAACGTGAGAATAAAACTCACAAAACAAACTAGCTAGTGTTAAACCACAACGCGCTACGGGCTAACGGAACTGCCATTAGCAACAGTGTTCTGCTTTGAGTCCTCTTGAAAATCATGTTTCAAACATGCGAGAAGAATAATTATTGCTGTAATAAAATTACCATTCTTAATGCCAAACTCGCATGAACTGTTTCAATTCTCAAAATTTGCAAAAGTCATATTTTTATGGCTAATATACCAAACTTGCAGTAATTGGATAGCCAATACATTCTGAAGCTTAACAACCATACAAAAATACTTTCATCAATCCAGAAAATACACTTTTCAAAATAATAAGTGCACGTATCATAACTCGTTTGTCCTTCATTGTTATTGCATAATTTTCAAAACTAATATAATTCATAAGAATAAAATATTTCAGAAAAAGGCTATTAAAATAAATTAAATGGAATGCTATTCACTTACTTGTTGAAGCTTCAAATTCTCAAAATATTCCTTGCCTTTAATTCTGGTCAGGATCCCGTTCTTCCTCGCACCCTATCAGAATATATATATAAATAAAAATGAAATTTTTAACATAATTCCAAATCAATCACCATCATAATTAGAGTTGATCCAAGTGTTATCGTTAACATCACTAGTCCCCATCAATTTTGTTTTAGTTAAACCATCCATTCATGATTCCATAGCTTGCATACTTATATACTTCTCCCACCAAACATTATCCTTCATACTTGCAACCTTCCCCATATATATATATATATATATTTATTTATTTTTATAGGTTTTGCACTAATTACTTTAGGTGCATAAATTCTACTTAATTAAATTATTTATCCAAATCACTCTCCTCCTCCCTTACCTTAATAGTTTCTTTAATCATATTCAATTCAACTCAAATCCATTTAGCTCATAAAATTATGACCCACACCCACACACATATATATAGCAAGTCTTTGAACAAACTTCCAACTTAAATTTGAATCTTCTCCCTCCTATAACAGCACGGCATAATAGTAACAAGAAGCATGCAAAATATATATACTCCTCTCTCTCTCTCTCTCTCTCTTTTTCTCAGCCACGTACAGCCATAAACAGTCACAGGGAAGCCAAATTCTTTTCTGTTACCAGTTCACATATACACAGAGTAAAAGAAGCCTAAACGTGAAGCCTTCTCACCTTGACTCACCACAACAGAAAACCAAGATGAAGAAATTGAAACAGCCGGCTGAACAGCCTTCTGAACATCTTGTATTAATAAGTAAATCATTTTTTCCTCTTAAACCATTTTTCATATGAGCAAAATTCTTCCTATGTTATGATATGTTAACTCTGCTTTTTTTAGCTGACATGGCATATCTTTTGGTATTAATTTGTCCTGAGCTCTTTTTCTATGAACGTTCGAAACCTTGAAGATTATTTTCGTTCGAGAAGTTTTGGACGTCTTGGGCTAATAATTGGGGAAACTTTTTTTTCCTAAACCCTTTTTTAAATGAGTTAAAATTCCCCTCTGTTAACATATCCCTAACAAAAGGGGGTTTTCACTCCTTTGGAAAATGGCCTAAGGAAGAAATATCTCACTTATTAGTATAGAGTACCCAGCATTCCTTAAAAGAAAGTACACAGGAAAAATGTACTTTAAGCCCTTACTTTTTGGTCCTTCTTAACAATTTCCCTTATTATTATTATATTTGTCAGTTGGACCTGGTGGCAATTGATATTTTAAATGGAAAATTATGGACAATAATAATTGAATTTCTTGATCAAATTATTTATGGATGATACAAATAGGAATATCATGAGATTCACACTCACACATACATAATGGAGTCTATAATGAGATTTACAGTGAATGTCAACTAGAAAGTGGTTAGAATATTTATTTTCTAGAGTATGTCATATTAATGTCCCTTCAATTTTACTAAAATTATATTAATTTGAAATCTTAACATTCTTATTTGTGAAGTTATTGGATCTGCTCAAGTTGTCGTTTTGGTCAGATATACCATTGACAGATTTATTCTTCCACAAAAAATTACTCCACATTAACAAATCTCAAAACACCACCACAGTTGAAGACCAGTGAGATAAAAGCGAGGAAGATGAAGTTGAAGGTGATGATATCAAAATTAAGGAGAATTATTCTGTTTGCTGAAGCACAAGAGGATTTGACGGATCAGCTTGCAAGTTGCACAAGGCAACGTTGGCTATTGCTGCATGAATTGAGAAAATTAGATCATTTTGTGGGTTTCAATGCAGGTGTCGGGGATCTTGAAAGCAACATCCTCGGCATTGACCTTCGGTTTGAATTCATTCCTTAGACTTCCAAAGGAAGAGAAATGAATAAAATTACCAAATAATGTAACAATCATATTTAATTTGGATTTGAAGAAGTGTGCTTTTAAATTTAGCTTCTTGTTTTGGCGAGTCACATAGTCCCAATCAGATTCGGATCCCATGCTTTGAAACTTTTAGTATAATGGATGCGAAGTGGGGTGATCCTGATTGTGAATTTATCCAATGGTTGGGAAGAGAAAGATATATAAAAAGTCTTATCATTTGCAAAGCTTACAAAAAAAATTTCCATCAGAAAAGTATGAAAAAAATCTTTTTTTCTACAATATAAAGTCTAGAATGGATCAAATGAAATTTATAGTGTAGAAACAAGAAATATAAAACATAGACTTTTTATCGTAGGAAAAAAGATTGTGTGCTTTATAGATAACTAGATTTTTGGTGCACGTGTATCGTTTCAACCATTGGATAGAATGATTGCCTCACTTCATATCCACTACACCAAATATATTGCATGGGATCCGAATCCCAATCACAAACACATCCATTAATATTATCCATAGGTATTCCCCTTAGTTTGGCTTTCATTTTTCTTACGGTTAGATTGACTTTTAATTTTATCTTTGGCTACTTTGTCATAACTTTACGAATCCCAAGTCATTGAATGACTTGGGAGAAGATTAAGGCACATTAGCATTGGCATAAATGATGGACTTTAAATTATAATATATCATTTAAATTTTGATCTGAGTAGTTTATTCGTTCCTTTAATTCATAGAATTATATAACATCATCATCATGCTTTGACAACTTGGTTTGAGTTCGTTCCTTGAAATCTCTATAAAGAGGAAGAGAACTGTGTAATCATTTTTTGAGTGCATAATAATATTTGGGTTTGAAGAGGGGAAATCATTTTCTTTTTCATGAAAGAAAGTGGATCCCGGACCCTCACCAATGCTTACAATATTGATATATCGTTTGTTAACAATTTCTCACATCAATAGACCAATCTTTATTGGTAAAAATTGGGGAGATCATATTTTCTTAGAAACCCAGATAAGGCCGGTGAGAAGAGTAAAGGAAAACTTATTGGAGAATTACTGACAAAACACAACGGTGAGATGATGATGGCTATGAGACGACACACAACAAGAGTGATGACAACGAGTACCAATGAGAGTTTGAAGAGTGAAGGTCGATTTCATACATGAACAATAATGGAATATAATAAAATGCGTGAGGGCAAATTAGTCCAAAAATTTGGTTTCTCCTAAAAAAAAAAAACAATTTGAAACAGACCAAAATAAGGGAAGGGGAGCATCCCCCAATAACCAAACACATTGCAGATTAAAAGACTAATCTAGCTAATCATTTGCAATTTATAGTTAATTTCAATAATCTAATCAGTTATAAAGTCAGAAGAAGCTTCACTACTAAATCCAATTCTAGTTTCATGCTCTCATCATCATTATTATGAAATTGAGAGATTATATTTTTCATACCCACATTAATTAATACAAGAATAAATTTGAAAATTTTTTTTTTGAAAAGTACTAAATATCTTATATTTTGAACAAGTTTAGTTGGAAAAAAAGAGTCTTATAATTTGGACGAGAAGAAGCATATCATGAGTTAAACAAACATGGAAAAGCCGCATAGCCCATAGATAAAGATTTTCTTCTCACATCTAGCATAAACACAACTAAAACAAGCTCCATGAAGTGCCTTGAAATATGATCCATATGTTTCTAATGTAGTAATGACGTAAAACGTAAAATATGGTCCGAGATATAATGAAAAGGGAAATCAGCCAAAATAAAATAAAGAGAAAAAACATGACCAACAAAAGCATTTTACATTTTCAGAAATTTAATTGAATAGCAGCCTGCAATTCAATGAACCCCTAGGACATGATGATAATCTTCTGAGCATTTGGTGTTTCGAATCTACATTTTCCTTTGTAGAACTGTAAATGGAGATGTTTCTCAAAGCACTTGAGTTCTTCATAATAAACGTTGCAAGTTCAAACTCACATTCCGACCCTCTATACTCACCCAGACAAAATTTCTTATGATGGGTTGAAAGACATTGAGGAATATCAAGCATGGACTCTACCAAACTTCTCTTAAAAATAAGATCCAACTAAGGAAACATAAAAACACGTATCAGTTAGAAAACTAACTAAAAACACTACTGTGAGAACACATTAATTTAAATTAAATATACAATCCTTGTGGATAGTAAGAACTTCAAGTTTTGGGAAGTTCTGAAGGCATCCCACAAGGTTGTTCACATCATCATTCAGACATGAGAATTCCAAGTGAGTTAAATTATAAAATGTTGGGATAGAGGACATAGATAGCATACACCCGAACTGCATTAGGAAAACAAAATCATAACTTTATTTTTTAATGTCAAATTTGATAATGAAAAATTAGAAAAAGTTAATCATTTGATTCCTAATTTTAATTTAGTAGTTATTTGACTAGTTCTCGTGGATGGTCCCAAGATTTTAAAAAAAGTAAAATTATCAATATTTGAATTATTTTAAAATTTAGAGATTAATATTTTAAATTACTAAAAATTTTAATCCTTACAAAAATTATAAAGATTAAAATTCTATAATAACTGGGTTAGAATTGAATCAAGACTGGGTTAATACTATAAGAACAAAATGGTCCTTATATAATCGTTATCAGCACCTCAATACGAAGAAGCCTAACATTACTAAAAGCTGTCAACGGAATCCACGACGGTTGAACTTCTGCCGACGCAAAATGTTCAAACCTTCCAATCCTGAAATGTCCGATAGGAGTAGACCAAGTTTTTAACACCAAGTCTTCAAGAAGAGAACATCCATTAGGGATATTAGCCGCAGATTCAGGATTTGAAAATTGAACTTTCACCAGATGCAATACTTTGAGTGAAGGCGAATTAACAGATCGAGCATTCAGCATAACCTTAGCCAACTTTAAAACCTTAATGGTACTGCTATGAAAAATGCAAGCAGGCACATCAACGTGACGATAAGAATTTAAATCAGCAAAGCATAGCTCGAGATGCTGAACTTTATGATTCATGATTGACTTAATCCACGGATTAATCCTGATAGAAGGCACTCGGAATCTCTGACACTTGAGACGAAACATGTTTATGGGGTTGGGATCTGACAAGAACAAGACAGCATCTACAAATTGAATGAAGGAGTGAAGACTAGAAAATCCAAAGTCGTGGATGTCAAGAGCGGGCATTGCTAGCCCTAGCGGAGTCCACCTCTTGGACAAGATCAAGCTCTTGGCTATGGCTTCTTTTATGGGAAGAAAAGAGAGGATGTGGTGAAGCAGAGGGTCCGGTAAGCCGCTAATCCTATCACTCTCTTCTTGTCTGGGAACTAATTTTGCACGTTTGAACGCTGCATTTGCCAGAACAGGATATCGGAGAAGTTTCACAGAATGATGCGTACTTGTATTATTGCTGCCGGAGACCGGAGGCTACGACGCGTTGAAGGCGATGGCTTTGGAGTCCAATCTTACCCTTGTTGCTCGTCACCTTTACCCCAAGTTCTGAAGAACTTCAAAATAATAGAAGAATGACGTTCAGAAATTCGAAAATTGATACTTCCTCTGTAGTATTATTATAAGATATAAGATAAGTCTATCTCGTTTCTAGGGGGAAAATGTAATCTCTTGATAAATTTTATATCTTTTCAATTATATTCTCATTTAATATTTTATACAAGAATACATCTTGCTAATGATAATTTAAATTTAGGATGATAAATTTTTTAATCTTTTAAATTTGCCTCAAATATCAATTTAGTCTTTCAAATTTAATTTTTATCTATTTAGTTCTTAATGTTTTCTTAAATTATCATGTAAGTTTTTAAATTTTAAAACAACAATTGACCCTCAAAATAATGTAATATGTAAAGTGTATTAATAACTTGGTGTGTGTAGAGGTAAATGAGAATAAAATTAACTCTCAAATTAATTTAATTTTTATCAATATAATCTTTTACATTATATTTTGTTCTCTTGTTTTTTAAAATTTTCTACCTAAATAATTATAGGGAGAATGATAGTTAAATTCTAAGCAAATCAATTAATTTAAATTAGGTTCAACTGATTTCAAAATGTCAACAAAGTCTCTTAATGGTCATAAGTCTAATAGTTTCAGGAATTTGTAACTTATTTTGCAAGTTTTTTATTTTGTAATTTCACTGTGATGCATTTGCAATTTATTTTTCTAATTTTAACAGGGAACACAAATATTTATCTTCATTATTAAAAAATATTAAGTCTAACAACTTTAAGGATTTGCAAGTTGGGTTTCCACTTTTACAACTTCATCATAATGAATATATAATTTATTTTTTAAATTTTAATAGAAAACACAAATGTTCAAATTTAATGTTAAAAAATATTAAGTCTATTGTTTATTCTTTGCCTATTGTCTATTTATCAATAAAATAAATAGACCTTTTATTTTTTCATTGCTTATTGTTTATTCTTCAACATTACTAAAATTGGATAAACAAATTGCAAATGTATCATAACAAAGTTGCAAAATTAAGAGTTGAATTTGCAAATGTGTAGAGATGTTAAACTTATTATCACTAAAAGACTAAGAGACTTTGTTGACACTTTAAAATTAATTGAAACTTAATTTAAATTAATTGATCTTTTCGAGACTGACTTAACTGTCATTCTCTCATAATTATACTTCTTTTCATTAATTTTTGTTGTTACCATTAACATTTTGTTATTTATATTAGTAAATTTTAATAGTGTAACCTAAGGTTGTGCAAAATTGAACATAAATTGAAAATTGAATTGAATCAGATTAGGATTAATCTATTCAATTCATTTTTTTAAATGGTTTAAGTCGTTCGGTTCAGTTTGGGGATTTCAAAGCTCAACAGAGAACCTATCAAAATTAATATATATTTATAAATATTATATTAATTTATATTATTAAAAGTTATTTTTATTTTTACTAATATTATATTTAATAAAAGAGAGTGGGGAGATGAGAAACCCTTGCAGCCCAACGGAAACTTTGGCCCATTACAATTAAGTAAAAAGTTTATATTAGAGAAAAATATAATTTCCTCCCTTCTAGTTTATTAAAATTACAAAGATTTTTTCTCTATTTTAAAAATCCACACTTTACTCCATTTTTGAACACCGAATATTTCATTTAAGATTGTAAAATATTTTATTATATTAATTAAAATATGTGAAAAAAATAAAATTATTAATCGCCTATCATTATCTATGTATTCTCTCTCCAATTTTAAAGAATATTATATTTATATTTTCATAAAAATTTTAAAAAATATTAAAATTAATAAACATAAATTATATTGAAATTAATAAAATAAATATAAATTATATTAATTAATTTATCTCTCATTATATGAAATTCCTAACTTCTTTTTTTGAAGAAATTTTCTCATTTATTAAACTTTTATTCATATATGTTTGTTTTTGTCAACTTATATATTTAAAATTCAGAAACTTACTATATAAATAAGTTTATATAAATGACTCTTAAAATTATATAATATATAACTAATTTTATTTATTTATTTGAATTTACATTAAATATTATTTATTATTATAAATAAATAAATTTATTTATATCTAATATTATTTTTGTCAACTTATTCTTATATAATATCATTATCTTTAGAAAATTCAAATGACTTTTGAACAACATTTTATATTTAAGAGGTGTGTTTTAGTCTAAAATGTATGATTTAATGGTTAATTAATGGTTGGATAGATGAAAATGAAATATTTAAAATAAATGAGAGGTGTGTATAAAGTAAATTTTTATTTTAAGGGAGGTTTGTATAGGTCTTAAAAATGAAATAGAGATATATGTAATTAAGGTAAAATAGAAAGGAAATTGGTGCATTTTACTCTTTATATTATTAAACTTTGGTCCATTAACCTTGTTTAATTTCAGCCAAAAAAAACCTTGCTTTGTAAAAAATAAAAGGTTAAAGTATAAATCTGTCATTGAAGTTTTTCAAAAGTAATTGATATCCTAAAGTATTTAAAGTGGGCAATTTCACTCCATTGTTTTTAAAAACGGTACAAATTTGCCTTGATCCAATAGTTTGAACATGTTAAGTGTTAACTTTCAATCTTGATTGTTAAATGCCTTGTTGGCGTGCCACATGGAAGTCCATGTTTGAAAATGGGACTCATTTTTATTTTTTTTTATTCCATGTTCTTTTTTCAACCTCCTTCCTTACTCGTGGAGCCAATATATGCCTGAAGGACTTTTTTTTTTTCTTTTTAACCAACAATTCCTGAAGCAAGTAAACATCCCAATCTATGGTCTGAAGCAATTAAACAAACCAAGAACAATGAAATAAACCAAAAAAAAAAAAAACAGAGATGAACTAGAAAGTTGCTTCCCCGCGAAACACAAAATCTCTCCTTTATCTTACCCAAATGCACCAAATTATGAGTTGGAATATAAGATTTCGGCTTTCCCTCTTCTCTCTAGATTTTTTCCCCCAAAATGTTTAATGTTAGAGTGGTAATGGGTTATCCCTAGATTAATTATCTTCTTCCCATTTGATAAATTCAATCCTTGATTGCATCTATAAACTAATAAATTATTGTCAAACTAATAAATTAAGTCTCTAAAATCAGAAACACGGCGCATATATCTTACCAACTATAAGTCAAATTGGTTTTCACATTATGTATTTACGGTCACTGCCATAAAGAGGTTAAACCTTCAAAACTGTAAAATACCACAGTACAATCCCTAGTTTCAGAAATCAAATCCTGAATGTTACTAAAGCATAGAGCTGGTAATTAGAGCCAGCTAGTAATTATCATTTCTTATTCTATACTTTTTATTTTTGAACTTAAAAAGTCCAATCCCTGCCAGCTCTTTTTAAAGAGTCCAAATTGCTTTTGTCTGTGCTGTACCCACTTATAGTTTTTTATTATGATGTTATTTTTAACAATAATTTATAGTAAACATGAGACAGAGTAAACTTCAAAGTGTATCCCGCCGCTTCCGCTTGCCTCATTCATTATATTAGTAATTAATGAAAACAGAAAATCTGTTTGCAATAAAAAGATAAAAACAAATTGTTTACGTTATTACTTTTTTCTTATGGGAAAGCATGGTAAATGACAAGAGTAAAATTAAAATCACCTATGCAAAATTTAACAGAAACGAGGAGTCTCATAGCCGAAAAAGATGAAAAGGCATTCATTAATCATGAGTGCGAGAGTTGCATCATCCATGCATATAGGTTTAATCTTCTCTCTCTATGTAAATTAAATCTATCATCGTAGTCTTCGAGATCTTCTGTTCGTCCTGCCGATCCATCAATACTTGGTTCTGTTGGGATGTCAAATGTGAATTAGCTTGACATGGTATGCAAAAAAAAAAAAAAAAAAGTCACTATAAGATAGACTTGGGCTACAAAAGGGGCATATAAATGAACAATACACAAACTCAACCCCTTAAGGTTTTGGGTTGAAACATGGTGTTATACTTATTTAAGTGTATGTGTCATCTTGAAATTATTGGGTGATTTAGCCATGTTCTCACTTCTTTCAAGATGCTCCCAAGGCCCAAGCCCAACAAGTGATATCAAAGTCTAATTTCAAAAGGATGTAGTATGAAGGCAATGGAAAAGGCCTTAAAAGCCCTCAAGTTTTATCGGGCTGAACTATTTTGTAGCAAGTTCCTGTCAAGTGTGGAGGAACAGAGGGAGCATGTTTGTGTGGTTAATAGTGGACTCACAATTGAGAGAAACATTATTTGGATGTCGAATGTGAATTGACTTGACATGGTATGGGGAAAAAAGTCACATGTCAGCTAGAGTTGGATAATAAAAGATGCATATAAATGAAAAAGACACATAAGTCCAATTCGTAAAGATTTTAAATTAAAATATGATATCATGCTTATTTATATATTTCCTTTTGAAACAATTGGGTGGCATAGTTGTGTTCTCCCCTCTTACAAGATACCCATTGGACGTAACTAACCCAGGCCCAACAGGTTATGCTCTTTCATGATCATCATGTCTTGGTCAGATAATAAGTAGGAGCAGGCTCTTGTGTAGAACAGAAAGAAAATAAATTACTCTATACTGAAGCAGGCATGGAATTTCTTTATATCAAGTTTCTCATCATTACCATTGGGAACTATTTCCAGACTTGTTAGCGGCAACCACTCTGATGTAGAGCCTTGCAGATTTAATTGCCTGTCTTCATTGGTTTAGAAAATCTGGACTTCAAGTATTTTTTTAATTCAGCTGCGGATAATGACATGTTGTTGCATCCCATGAATCAAATGGAAGTTCATTCCACATATCTGGAATATAACTTTGAAAGTGACTCACACACACAGCTCTCAATCGAACTGCTCTTTTGAATTCCTTAATGAAACCGCTTGTTTTATTGTTTCTTATGATCTCATTATGATGCCTAGTGATTTGAAGATGACCTTGAGCACCCTACTAAAGTTCGTAATTGATTATGTTCAGGTTCCCATGCAATTTACCGTCGATGTCACTCACAAAGAGGTGAGCGTAATATAATACAAATTACACTGTCAGAAACAACCGGTTAGGTCTTTTCATATAATTAAAAATCTACCTAGTTTGCCGGTCAAACTAGTAAGCCGAAGAACTTTATGCAGTCGATTAGATCGAGTTGGATTTTATATTTTTTTCTCTTTTAAGTCTGAGACGAAAAAATTTGTGTTGTGTTTTAACTCTGACTTATTGTTAATGTTCCATTTACTTGTGATTAATGTATTTTTTATATTTAAATGTTACTGTTTTATAGTTTTATATAAGTGTGTGTATTTGAGTTCTTTGGTTATCATTTCAAGTCTCACCCAGTGTGTATGCTTCGTTGCTGAAGGTATTAGATCTGCTGAAGCTCTCGCTATGGTCGAAGACGCCATTGACAGATCTTTTCTTATTTAAAACGGTGCGTATTCAGCGCTCTAGAACCCTACCACAGTCCAAGTTGAAGATAGGAGGGATACGTGTGAAGGAAGACAATAAGAAGATGAAGTTGAAGGCAGTTATATCAAAATCAAAGAAGAAAATAGTATTTGCTAAAGCACAAGCGGATTTCATGGATCAGCTTTTATAAGTTTCCCGACTTTACCACCACTCGTAGCTGTTGAACGTCTTGAACAAGGCGACTCAGGTTTGGGCTGCATCGATAAACTATACAAGAGTCTAGCTGATTGGGAAGCAACTAGGTATTTCAATTCAGATATCTGAGGTCTAAAGTACAATCTCACCATCCTCTTCTTGCCTCAAAATGTAAAGTTATGAATTAGATGTTACCAGTTGGTAAAGTATGTAGTTGACGTTCAGAAGCATCCTCAGATCATACATGTGGTTACATCAAGCGGGCTTCGACATTTATGGTGACTGATGATTTGTGGGCACAACCATTTTCGACCCTCGATGCTTTGTCATTTCTGAGGGGCTCCAGTGATGCTGACAAAGACTTAGAAGAGAGGGAAATAAGCGTTCTTGTAAATGAGGTACTTATATATATATATATATATTCTTCCTTCAAGACGGTTTTGAAGCAATGAAGTTTTGCGAAGAGAATAGAGGTGAGGTTGAGAGCAAAGAGTTGGGGAGAGAAAGTAAGGTAAAGAAAAAGAACAAAGATATTTTGTATATAGGAGTAAAAATGTTAAATGCGTGTGTGTGTGTGTTTATTGTGCTGATGAATCTTGTGATTATGGTTTCTACATATATATATATACACACACACATATATTCATGACGTGTTTGATATCCTGAAAGCTTCAATCATGTCATCATCATCAGTTTTGTCATACGGTATGAGTTCCTTCCTCAAACGTTAATTTCTCAAGTTATACTCTAGTTGTAATTGTAATTATTAATAAGTAATGTCAATATACAATATAATAATTTATCTTTGAATATTATATATATATATATTAATAAATTCTAAAATTCAGATAAGAATATTATGACCCATTCCTTTAGCCAATTTAGCTCTTAATAAGGGATCATTAAGTCAGGTTTTTTTTTTTTCTTGGTTATTGATCCATCCTCCAAAAGAACTGGACATGATAATTTTTCATCATCCGGCTGGAGCACTGAATAGGTTCCCAATCCAAACTTTATTAACATAAGCTTTCAACATGACTACCTATTAAACGGGGGTGAACATGCAAGAGAAACTTCGATCTCTTCATTTGAATGTGTGTGCATATATATATGAAGCCAGTCTAAGATTTTGAAGCTGAGCTTGATCTTCTGCGGGTAGAAAATTAAAAGATGACTTGTGAATAGTTAATATATGCCTATCTATTAACTCTAATAAGTTTCCACCTATCTAATAAGTACAAAAAGAATGATTTTTAATAATTTTTTTAAGCATTTAACAATAACATTGCAAAATTCATTTTTTTCTCCTATGATGGGACTAGAGGAGTACATGTGTCTCTCTTCTTTGAGCTTAAGAAAAACATAAAGGATCAAATTAACAAAAATTAAACTTGATAAAAACTTGAGAAAATATATTTAGTATAATTGTCCCTTAAATTTGAATCATCTAGATTTAATTTAAATGATTTAAATTTGGTGCTTTCATCATAGGAGTACTACTAAACACTAAAACTAAGTCTAGTTACAACAAGTCTTTGCATAAAGAGACACACGGGTGGGCTTCAACATCTCGCACCCCAAATTATGTATCGTGGATGGTCAGATTTGATGGACTGCTTGTTTGATTTAAACACGTTTTTATAAGAGTTTAAGCTTATTTTAAAGGAAAACCAACTTTGAAGTTTGGCAAAAGGCTATTTTACTCTTTTTTTACTTCCCTAAAAGGCTAAAACGTAGTGCTTAGAGGTGTAAGAAGAAAGCCCAAAAATCATGTTATTTATAAACTTTGCAAAGTAAGAGAATCTAAGCCTGAAAATTACTCTATATATACTAGAAAAATCATGTTATTTATATTATTAAAGAAAAGCAGTTTAATCAAAATGAGTTAAATGTCGATCATTTTATCTTGTTTTTTTTGGTTACATGTAAATATATTTTTTCCAAATTTATTTATGCACTAGTTTACGATGTGATTTCCAACATATACTGTTTATTTTGTCGGGCATTGACACGTACGGAACTAATGGAAGAGTATCGTGACGTTTTAGCAAGAGTAAGAAAGCTTTAAGATGCATGTTCATCCGCTGGGCAAAGTGTCTTTCTTCAACCAAAAGCCTACACATCGAAAAAGGACTAAGTTTAAGATATATATTAACCCCACGTGCATAGGTCTGCGTTAAGATCAGAGTCCATGATGACTGAACACTCAAGGTGGTTCCATTGTTATGCATTGTTGATGATGTGAGAAGAGTGCATTGCACGTTGCTAAGCAGTCCATGCAAGTATTTATTTATCTAAACATGTTATCACAAGATGCCAAATGTTGCAAAGTATTTTTCTAATATTATTTCAGACTCGAAAAGCTGGATTCAACCTGTATCTTTAATTATTTTTTTAATGTTCTCAATGGCTTTCATTAAATCAGAAAATGAATTAACTTCTTAGAAGCCAAGAGTTTAGCAAAAATTTAAAGTTTCTTTGATTTTGCTAATCATTAACGCTTAGTTCATGGAATTAAAGTAACTTATTTTTGACATGAAACTGCCTTCCAGTATCCATCTTCATCCTAATAAGTCTTTAGAGTGGCTTCTCGAATCCTTTGAACTTCCGTAAATAATTTTATTCATTTTGAATGGAAAATTATAAACAACAACAACAATAACAACAGCAATAATTAAGTCTCTTGAAATTACTTAATGGATGATACTAATCGAGATAGAAAAGAAAGATCAGAATAGGATTCATCATTCATGAGAGTTTTTTTTTAATCTCCCAACCTGAATAAGATTTTTTTGTTTGACAAAAACCTGAATAAGATTATATCCAAAAAAAAAAACCCTTAATTAAACACGCTGTCTAGCAAAGAGCGAGCTGTGTTTAAGTGTTATGAGAGACTCTTTTAGCCTTTGTACAAGTTGGGGGTTCTCAGAATGAATTATCGTTAGTGATTTTTAAAGTTGAAACTCATGTAGCCTAGCTAAATTTACCATATAGTGTGCTCTTGCTTAATAGTTGATATTAAAATGGTGTTAAACATTCTTGTAATTCTGGTAATACTATAATTAAAATTAAAAATATCAGATAGTAACTTAAAAAGTTACTCTATTAACACCAGCAAGTACCAGCAACAAGTCATTTTCATGGTTTTTGAGGCGGATGTTGATCTCTATCTCCAATCTCTAATATCATTAATTGTCTGTATCATCCATTTTATCTGATCATTTGGGAGTAAAAGTTTCGTATTCATACTCCTTGGACTGTCTGTCTATATGTGATTCAATGAAATTAGAAGTGTAGAGTTCGTATTTAATTGTTATTACTTGGTAGTTTACGAAAATTTAACAGCGAACGAGGAGGCGCAACGCCTTGGTACTATGCTATTTTAAGAGAACAAAAAGTCGTTGTTAATCAGGAGATAGATGCTGTACCATCTTTTAAGGTTTTACTCTCTATATAAAATGACATGCAGCTTCCATTGAACTTACAGAAAACATCTGCTAGTGTTTAGGACTTCTGGCTCTCCACGATAATGGCTTCATCCGAAAGTCAGAAGCAGATTTCTGCGACTCTGATGGTAGACGACAAGAAAAATAAAGTACTGTATGCTGAAGCAGGGAAGGACTTCGTTGGTGTTCTATTAAGCATCTTTACATTGCCCTTGGGAACTGTTTCCAAACTTCTCATGAGTAAGGACTCTTCTGTGGAGGCTCGCAAATTTAACTGCATAACCTCACTACGTCGAAGTGTAGAATATCAGGATTCAAAGTATTTTAATTCAGATAGTGATAAGGAAATTTTACTGAAACCGAAGAACCTAATGGGATATCTTAATAGGCAAACGGTATCTGATAGTGACGACACAACAGCGGTCTTATACCACTTCGGTGGCTTTCTTCGTGAAACCGCATGTTTCGTTGTTTCTAATGATCAGTTAGTGATGTCTGGTTTACCAGAAACTACTCTTAAAGAATATGAAAAAAATAATGCTCTGCTCTCTATCTTTATTCAATAAACTGATCGTACATACATAGCCATATGGCCTTAGAGATTTACACTGTTAGAGAGCCACGTGACTAAGTCAGAACCACTTGAGTACAAAATAACAAACAGTAAAACAAACTCTAAACCTGATTACAACTAAATACTGACGTGGACAAGTAGTTACACTAATATCCACCCAGCAAGAGTTTTGTTCTTGTGTTTAAACAAAGGCATAATCATCATCAAAGAGCCAAATAGTATTCGCAATAATGTCTTCATGAGCAATTACTCCAAGTTTGGTACAAAAGTAGCTGAAAAGGGCAGAACCTAATGGCTTGGTAAACATATCAGCAACTTGATCTGTTGCTGGAACATAGCCCACTTGAATAGTACCAGTAGCAACTTTTTCTCTGATAAAATGAAGGTCAAGTTCAACATGTTTAGTCTTCGAGTGAAGGATAGGATCAGTTGCTAAGGCAATAGCGCCTGAGTTATGACACCAAACTACTGGAGGAGTGAGAATATCAAGGTGCATCTCACGAAGTAGTGCCATCACCCACATGACATCAGTAAGAGAATCTGCAACACTCCTATACTCTGCTTCAATGGTTGACCGTGAGACCACGGGCTGCTTCCTTGATGACCACATAACTGGGTTAGGACCAAAAAAGGTATAGAAACCGCTAATAAACTTGCAATCTTCCTTGTTAGTGCCCCATTCTGCATCGGCAAAAGCCTACACACAAAATGGAACAGAGGTAGGCTTAAGCAGTAGTTCAAAGTGTGCAGTGCCAACCAGAAAACATAAGATACGTTTCACACATTTCCAATGAGAAGTGTGAGGATCATGTAAAAATTGATTGAGATGATTCACTGCAAAAGCAATGCCTGGTCTGGTATAACATAGGTATTGAAGTTTGCCAATAATGCTGTGGTAGAGATGTGCATCAGGTAAAATATCCCCATCAAAGGATCTAAGATGAAGATTTGTCACCATAGGAGTGCGACTAGAATTTGAGGCAATTAAACCAGTTTCAACAAGCAATTCAATAACATATTTCCTTTGAGACAAGAAAATATCATTCCCAGATCGATGGAACTCAATCCCAAGAAAGTAAGATAAATCTCCAAGAATTTTAAGAGAGAACATAGAGCTCATAGATTGAACTAGAAAATGGAGTTCCTGTGAGTTATCACCAGTCAAGACAGGATCATCTACGTAGATCAAAAGAAAAATAATACCTTTTTCATTCTTATAGATGAACAAACAAGTGTAATGACTCAGAATTTAATTGAAATTAAGAATTGATGATAAAATATTTTGAAGGTATTCTTATATATAAATATATATTTATTTGCACATTGGTATAGAGTTATCAAGAAGAAGAAAATTTTATTTTTACTAATGATTTGATTAAATTATCATTTTTTCTCTTGGGTCAAAAATAAAATAAAATAATTATAAAATGCTAAAAATAAATAATGCAATAGATGAGATCAGATACGCACGCGGGGGGCCTTTCCGTTTCTTTTTTTTTTTTTTGGTCTTTTGTCATAAGCTTCGAAAGTTCCAGATCAAGGAGGGCGGTGAGAGCTTTGAACCATACTTGTGTCTTCTCTGATCTGTCTCCACTGCCGTCCTTTTCATCTGTCACCGGTGACCTTGAGTGTGCTGCAGCCTTCTTTTTCCTCTTCCTCTGTTTGAGTCGCTGATCGTGCAACAGTGTGAGTTGTTGTCCAATTCGTCTGTACGATGTTCATTTGCGCCGCCTGCCGTTCTTCTTCCTCTGTTAATAATGTGCCATGGGTTTTTAAATTTCGGACTATGGAAGTGGTTTGTTCCTGCAAGAGACTGATTTCTGGTCTTCTCTTTCCCCTGTTCAGCAGCAAACTCCTCCTCTCCCTTCATTGTTGTTGCCGTGGCTGGTATGAGAGTGCTCATCTTCCCTTCTCCGTCTTTAATGATCTTACGTGGTGTATAAAGATGTGTGTGTGTGTGTGTGTTGGCTTTCCTTCCTTGCTTGTTCGACTGTAAATGTTTTGAATTTTTCTTGAGTTTAAATTGATTTTTGTTGAGGAATTGGATTGGAAAAGCATAATGAATTTAATGATGGATGTATGAAATTTGTCAGATAATCAGAGATTGTATTACTAAAGTGTTTAAAAGTTCTACACACAAGGTATTTGATATGAGACAATTATGTCTCAATGGAATAATTAACTATAGTTAAAGTAATGCAAAGAAATTTTGAGATAAATAATGATGTTTGGAGTAACTTTGAATTATTTAGATGGATTATGGTTGAAAATTTATAAATTTTGGTATCTATGTATGATTTGATTTTTGAGTGCACTTAAGATGTTTGATGGAATGTGAAAAGAGAAATTGTTTTGGTTTAATTAAATTATTAAGTATGGATAATGAACCATTAACTAAATCTTTGTAAAATTGTGATAGGGGTTGTCTTCCACCTTAACCTTCAGTGATGAAGTTTTTTTATAAATCACTTGGTCATAGCTTCATAGAGATTCTTAAGCTGTGTATAGTTAGTGTCTGCGCATGTGTGTGTCTAAATGTATATATTCATGATTATAAAAGTGCTGATTGACTTTCGGTACATATGCAAGAGCTGCCCAGTGGTCTTGCTATTGTAAAGTAAGCCATAGAATCTCAGCTATGGCATTTGGAATAATCCATGCAATGACTAGATCTTTGTATAGAAGTTATTACATTCTTATATATGAATTTGAGATTAAGGACTTTGCTTACATATAAGTGTTTAAAACAAAATGATGATAGGGGGTCGATGAATGTTGTTTTATTTAATTATTTATTTTAGATTTATAGCTAATTGTATTTAACCTTGCAAATATGTAAAATAAAATGCTATGGTTTCAAGTCACAATGTTGTAGAAAGAGTGCAAGTGTAAATGATGGTATTATTAGTTAAAATGTGTTAGTAGATTACTATGATTTATGCACTGGAAAGAAATGTGGAGGATATGGATTTCTTTGGAATGAACATTAAAAGATTGGGGACCAAGAGCAATGTGAGAATATTATCATTTGTTATGATAGTTCAATGATTTGAGATTTTATTTGAAATTTATAGAGCCATATTATTATGAAGTTTATTAAATTTTTTTAAAAAAATTGTCTATTCAAGTTACATAATTATTTCAAACTTTTCATTTTATTTACGTTTTATTGTTTAAAGTTGGGACGTTATTCACTAAAAAATATCTTTGGTCTCAGATACCTTAACTGATGTTGATCTTCCTGCCGACACTTGAGCACTTATAGACAAGTGGAGGGTTGATTGAAATTTTTCTTTTAATGTAATTATAAATGTTTATATATCTTATTTTTATTTTATTTTTGAAAAGTACGATTAGGTGCTTCACATAAGCTATAACTAGGACTTTTATTTTATACATATGCTGTCTGTCGGCTGGAATGAGCTAAGCTCCTGATTTATTTGATATTTTGACTGCATCAATATATTGCAGAAATTTTGAGAAATTCTATTTACAGGAGGGGTTTTGTCAAAATTTTTATAAACATGTTGAAACTTTGTTATAATTATTAGTATCAAAGTATTATAATTTCAATATAAATCTGATTTTAAAAATAGAGTGAATTTATGATTTAAGGCTTACAGGAATATGTGAAATGATTCACATCCTATGCCGATCGCTCTCCAAATTTTAAGGTGTGAAACAATGATCAACATTAGAGGGAGTAAAGGCAATGCTACACAAGAACTATTGGAGTTTGTGAAACCAAGCCCAAGGGGCTTGCTTGACGCCAAATAAGGCTTTGCTTAACCTACAGGCCAAAGGTTAAGAAGTAACAAGATCAACAAATTCATGTTCAAAGCCAGGTAGAGGAGCCATATATACTTCTTCAGAAATATCACCATTTAAAAATGCATTATTAAAGTTAACTTGAAAAAGCTTCCAACCATATGTGATGGCTACAATGAGAAGGATACATATGGTAGGAGCCTTAATGATAGGACTAAACATATTAGAATAGTTAGACCAAGCTTTTGTGAGTAAAACCCTTAGCAATAAGTCTAGATTTATTATGTGCTGGAGTGCTATCTGCATTAGTCTTGACTTTAAAGAGCCATTTATAGTCAATAAGTTTGTGGTGAGAGGGTAAAGGAACCTTTTCCTAGGTATGAAATTTAACCAAAGCATCATATTCTTCATGAACGGCTTTTCTCCATTGAGATCAGCTAGTGCTTCTATAACATTTGAGAAAATTTAACCTTAGTTTATTAACCTAATGAGGATAATTAGTAAGTTAATGAGGTGTGTGGTCATAGGGGCTTAACTTGGCATAATTATTGTGATTTCAACCTTAGAAGTGAGTCCAAATCGATAACAAGCCACTCGGGCAAGGAAAGAGGAAGAAAAGTGAAGCATTATTCTCTGTGTCACACGCCGCGGTGCTTGGTTGGTCCATCATGGCGTAGGAGACAATTTTAAATGCAACAGGCTCCTTTATGCCATGCGTTGTGGTGGAGAGTAGTGTGTGCCATGGCGCACGGCCAAAATTTTTGATAAATCAGTTCGTGTGCTACGTAAAAATAGCAGAGAAAAAGAAAATGAAGAGCTCGACTTTGGTTCTACTAGGGCACGGCATTGGGTTCTATTATTGATAGATTGAAGCTTTCAAACACTCAAGGTAAGCTTATGTTGCCTTCTTCTTCCTTTCTCTCCCTCATTTATGATGATTTGTAGTAGAGTTTGACTTGAGAGATGGATTTTTAGTCCATAGGAGTATGGATCCAATTTCATTAGTTAAAATAAGTATAATGGGAGTTTTTTTAATGCATTGGAACACCACATTGATGATTTTGAAAGTGGTTGGTCCATGGAAGTTTTTATTATTTGAAAATTATCATGAATATAGTAGTTGGGAGAGGTTAATGTGCATTAATAATGGTTTGTGGTATTATTAGTAATAATGTACATTTATAAAATCTAATGAGCCCGTTGAGTATAAATGGGTAGTGATTA